TTAGTCAAGGCACAAGGGCCCTGCCAGCTTATCGTGTGCTGCACACGCGGATTGTGCGACTGTGGGTGTATTTTTGACTCGAAAGGACCAAAATGCCCTTTAAATTATAAATTTCAAATATTACAGATTCACCCCCGAAATTCAATACAGCCCAAAATGAAGTTTTCGAAAAAAATCAATTCAATCCTTACCATTTTCAAAAAAGCCATCTTCTCCAAAATAAACAAAACATTTCACTCAACCAGCTTCACACCATCATCTCCGACGTCTTCTTCATCAGAAAAAATCAATCTCGATTTCTACTCCGAAACGGCATCGTCGAGCCCACCTCCGACTCGCACTCGATCTCCGAAACGACGTCGTTCGGAAGTCGGCAACACAAAATAGATCTAAATCGGCTCCAATTCGTTATCGGGTTTGAGGGTCGGCAGCGTACCTCCCAAACCTCGATTCTAAATTCTGTAAACCTTGATTCGTACATGAGTGAGGTAGATTCCAAAACAACTCCACCAAAACCACCTCCACCACAGCCGCCGCCATAACCACCGTACCTCGCTCACGAATCACGATGTCAAGAGCCGCCGCAAGACGATAGTTCCAGACGCGTACGACGGTTAATGCACTATTAGAGAGCTTTCATGGATAGTAGTTGTCTGCAGGGGCGGAACCAGGATTTTTCGGTAGGGGGGGGCGAAAAGTTTAGAGAATCAATAAAAATATGGCGGGGGTTCGGGGGCAGCGCCCCCGAAATTTTGTAGGGATATTTATAAAGAAAACCAACAAAAATAAGTAATGAGTAATAGATCTTTTTGTCAAAACAATATTCATAAACTTATATAAAATAAATTGCAATATATAACAGTAACATTTTGTTGAATAAGTAAAAGTGTCATAAAAAATAAAATCTTGAAATACATAGAAATTCGATAGAGTGAAAACTTTAAATATTGAAAGAAAGAAAAAAATTACATTCTTTTTTATGTTATTTTATTTTTTTATCATAAGCTTTAATAGAGATTAGGGCTTGAGATTGCAAAAAATATTTTATAGAATAATAAATTATAACAGAATTATAGAAAAATATTTTATAGAAAAAATAAATTATTTTCTCAACTTTTTATTTTTGGGTTAGATATTTTTATTTTGTTTAATTTTTTATTTAGTGTAATTTTGTCATTTCCTTTAAGTCAACAACAAAAAACGAAATAAGGGGCAGTGTGTTATATAGAAGATAATATAAGGGGGTTTTTTGCTAATTTTTTTAACACGAGGGCTTTTTCGGCTATTCGAGATAACACAGGGGTTATATGCAATTAGCTCATATATATATATATATATATATATATATATATATAGGGATTATTTCACAAACACCCCTCATATGCATTGTCCAATTAGGAGGGGTCCAAATCTTTTTTCCTTTTTTAAGATAAATCCAAAATATTATTTAATTAATCATAAATAATTTAATTCACCATTATATCCTTTATCTAACCCTATAACTCCCGTTATTATTTTCTTTTTTTCCACATATATCTTTTCTCTCTCTCTTTTCTTTTAACAGTAGCCGCCTCTCTTCCTCCACGTTGCGATCTCTTCTCCAAATCTCGGCCATCTGTAACTTTCTTACTTCTAAGAAGAGTCTTCAGACGAGGTAATATTCCATCCCTTAATCACATCAGAACCAAATTTTTGCTCTTTAGTGTTAGAAGTTGATCTTCTCTCATTTATCGTTACCCGTGTTCTTCAGTTGATTTTCGTTTCAGCATAAGGTGGAACTCCATTGTTAAATTAAAGTATAACCCTCAATGTGTCCAGCTATTTCTCCTTTCTTAGTGCCTTTTTTTTTTTTTTTTTTTTTTTTTTTTTTCTACATCAAGTGAATTTTTGTTGTTGGAAATGTGATTTTGCAAGTAATCGCAGGAATTCGCATCTATCTTATGTTTGGTCTGGTAATTTTGATTTGCTGAATTTAAATACTCCTTAATGAAAATTTTCAGACTTCTGTTACGACACGCTTTTGCTGGTTCTCGAGTTTAATTATTCGGTGATTGATCGTCATTATTGTTGTTATTGTTTTGAATTATCATTCAGGAAAATTGATATTGTTATAAGCCAGAAAATGGAGATCGATAAAGCGATAAGAGACAGTGATGATATAAGGTTGAATTTTTGTTCTTTTAAATTTGGTAATTAATGTTTTTGTTCTTGATGAATTTTTTTGGTGAAATTGCTGATGGGAGGAAGAAGATGATGATTTTTTCAAATAGTGGTTTACGTTTCAAATAACGAGAAGAAGATGATTACACGGACTATGCTCTAGGGTTCATTCGAGAGAAAATGATGTCCTTTATAGTGGTTTTATAGCTTTTTTTTCGCATCATTTTTGATGTTTTCTTGTTAGAATTCATAGTGATTTTCGATGTTTATATAATTGTGTATATAAAGTGGTTTTCATGTTTATATAATTGTTTTATATCGAGTGGTTTTCATGTTTATATAGTTGTTTATACGGAGTAGTTTTCATAATGTCATGCTTTGTCTTTGATAATTTTATAGTGGTTTTCAACAATTTTATAGTGGTTTTCAATAATTTTTGTACAGATTTTTATTTAACTGTATATACAGAGTGATTTTTAAATTAACATAGTTGTTATACATAGTGGTTTTCAAGTTTACATAGTTGTTATACAGAGTATTTTTCATGTTATATAATTGTTATAGTGGTTTTCATGTTTATAGAGTGGTTTTCATGTTTATATAAAGTAGTTTTTATTTAAAAAAATGGAAAGAAAATAAAAAAAACCCATTTTTAAAAAACTTTGAAATTAAAAAAAAAACCATGAAAAAACGAAAATAAAAATAAAACCATTTTTTTAAATTAAAATAAAAAACATGAAAGATATAAATAAGAAAAAAAATTAAAATAAAAAACCGAAAAAAATAAATAAATATTTACAAAATTTTCTTTTAAATCGAAAATAAAGCAAAACAAGTAAACAAAATAAAAAAGAAAAGGAAAAAAAAACTGAATTGGCGTGATGAGGGGAATAATTTTTGGAGAAGATTTGGTTGTAGATTATGGGTATAATTTTTTTAAAATTAAATAATTATACAATTAATAGTTAGTGGGGGCATATATGGTTTTTCAGGCCCATTGGATTTATCTCAAAAATCATTTATAAATAAAGGATTTATCAAGAATTAAAATTCCAATGAAGGGTGTTTGGCATATATATATATATATATAGGGGTCATTAGCAATAAACCCCTCATATAGATAATAAATGGTGATATGTCCACTCCTTAAATCTTTCTTTGTGATAAACCCCTAGAATTTGTATTTCCAATTTTACCCTTATGTCAATTAGCATAATTAGTCTCAATTATTCCTTTTTTCTCTCTTTCCATAACAATAATCTAATTCCTAAAAATCTGCTTCCAAATTCCTATAAATTTGCTACCAAATCAAAAAAAATATTTTATATTTATTTTTATTTTTTATTATTTTCGGATTTTATAGTCATTTTTTAATTTATTTTTATTTTTTAATATTTTTCCTAATAAAAAATATTTTTTTTTAATTTTTTTTTTTCTCGACAGATTTACAACTCCGAATATGACTACAGTTGAATATGGCTATTATGTGACTACGCTATTATGTGACTACGCTGTGTATAATAGTGTAATTAACATATTGTAGAAGCATAATTAGTGTAATTAACATATTGTAGAAGCATAATTATTAAAGTAATAGTAAGAATATGACTATTATGTGAATGTGACTGTGTTTTGTAAAACATTATAATTAACAGACAATAGAAGCATGATTCTTAACAAAAACAGGAAAAATATGACTATTATGTGACTACGGTTTGTATAACAATGACTGAACATGACAGTGGGAATATGACTTTTATGTGACTAGGTTATGCGTAATGTGACTACAAGTAATCAGCACTTGAAAAAACTTACAATAGCAAAATACATTGCAAAAAGAAAAAAAATGACTAAAAAAAACAAAAATAACTAATGTGATCTCCCATCGAACATGTTTTTTTGTTGCGGTATCCAACTCGGTTGCACCGACTGCAATTAATCTTCCGTTTGATCTTCTCTGTTAAATATGACTACATCGTTAAACATATGCAGCACTACAAAAAAAAAAGGAGAAGGCGGCGGCAACGAACGGCGACGGTGATAGTTGTGTACAAATCTAACCCAAAACCCAAACAACATGAAACACGAAAAAAAATATAAATCACAACTCTTATCATGCAATCCAATCCACAACTGTCAATGCATACAAATGCATAGATACATGCTCTAGGATACGAAAAAACAAAAACTCACAAAAATTAATGATATGCATGATAGTTCAAATCTACGCATTATAACAAACCAAATTATAACCATTGCAGTTTTACAGCAATGCCATTATAATTTTCATGATATTATAACCATTTTACTAAAGAAAAATTAAAATAAAATAAAATAATATAACTAAAAATTTAGATCCATAACAAGTTTTACAGCAAATTAATTCGAGAAAAAAAAATTATACCGATTAATTTGTAGATATTCAGCAATTGTGGTTTTGGCAAAGGACGACGACGACAATTTCGACGGAGGGCGGCGGCTGTGGTGAGAACATGGGCGGCGTGGGGTAATTTCTAGATCTCCATCGGTGTCCTGCCGCTAGTCCTTTGAATCCTTTACCATCTGTGATTGTCGATTCCTGCCGCCGGAATCTTCTGTAGCCTCCTCGATTTTTTAGTGGTGGAAATATTAGATCTAGGATTTGGGAGATGAAGAACAGAGAAAGAGAAAGAGAAAAAAAAAAATCAGATGAGAACGAGAATGACGATTGGGAGCGGAAGAAAAAGAATTAGGATTTAGGGTTATTGTGGTTGAGGGTACTTTTGTCTTATCACATAGGTCTAGGGGGTCTCACAAATTAAAACTGAAATTTGGGTGTAGACAAAAGTCTTTAAAGTCAATTGGGTTTAATTCAATATATTTCCCATATGAGGGGGCTATTGCATATTTCCCCATATTACAAAACTATAAAGATGTAGGCCTCAAATGAACAGTGCAATAATATTACATTTCTAATTATTTTAACACAAAACGCACACAAAACGACGTCGTTTAATCGGAAAAAAATCCAAATTAAGCGTAGACGCCTTTTCTTTTCCAATTTCTTTTGCTGCTCAAATTTATGGTCCGCCCATATCCGTGGGCCCTTCTCTTAATATTTCCAGTATTTTCCATTTTTCTTTAACAAACTCACGCGAGTTGTGTTCATTTACACGCGCTTGCTTTCGGCGGTTGTCAGTCTGCTTCTGCGTTCTCTCGCTTGTCAATCCCACCTTGACGTTTGTAGCTTCCGGTGTAGCCTGTGGGACGTGGGTTTACACAATCTTTATCGTCTCATTTCTCTTTCCAATTTTACATTCTCCGGAGGCCATTTCAGTACCCAACTAAAGGAAAACCCTAAAAATTGCACTCTCAAAGCAAACCGCCCGCAAATCATCAGTCATTCGATGTATTTTTTGCACATCCGATGGAGGTTTTCAATCCCCATCTCTGTTTCGTGAGTACAACAACAACAAAATAGGGGTTTTCTAACCTTTTTACGCCGATGCCGAAAACTGCCGAGGTTGGAGTCGACCGGAGCTCGTGAATGGGAATTAGGATTCTCAGCCATTAGGTTCTTCGTTTCCTCCATTTTCTTTGTTCAATCCATTTAGGTAAATTTGTATTTATTAACTGATTTTTTTTTTAATTGTAGAAGGGCTTGTAATTCTATCGCATTTTTAGTCTCGCTTGTTTATATTGTTCTTAAATTAATTTGTTTCTATTTTTTCTCTTTAGGTTTGCTCTCGATTACATTTGGTATGTTATCTTTCTCATTTATCCCCAAATAAAGTTTACGCTATGATTATGTTAGACTCATTCCCTTTTTCTTTATGTGCTTGGGTGATGTTCTTGAAAATGCTAACAGAAGACAACTGCCTTATTCCCTGCAGAATGGGTCTGGGTATAATTTTTTCTCTCTTTCTTGATTAATCATGTTAAGCTACACTTTGGTGCGAAATTTGTGCAGATCTTCCTAATTTTTGCTACTAACTTTTTTCTTTCACTTGTTTATGTGGGATCCATTTAAGTAAGCCCACTTATCTATTTATCTTATTATCTTAAGCGATTGCAGACTTTTCGGCGGGGAGGAAGACGTTGTCTCGTCCATTTACTGAGTCAGTGACATAAGTGGTATCCTCTGCATCAGTCAATTCATTAATCACTAAAGAATGTTTATATTTCCTTTCCATTTATCATTATTGTTGTATTAATGGATGTAAACACTTTGACTGCAGGTATACTGATGTGGTTTGGTGCTCGGTTGATTAGTTCTTCATTCCGCCTCCGACAATCCTCTCCGTCTGCCTCCTGTCCAAACCAGGCAACACACACTTGTTTATTGAAAGGGTATCTTTGGATCTCAGTTTTTGTTGTTATGGAATTATATTATGTTTTTTTGTTTCTGTGTTCTACGAGTATTTTAATTATCTAATATAGTTGGTTTTTTGTCTTTTAATTAACTGCATATCCTTTTCAATATCGTCGACTAAATTATTTCTTCAAATTCAAAATTGTTGTTACATGGTTGTTAAATTTATGTTTTTCACCATGGGTATTCAAATTTGGTTTTGCAGAAGTTTCAGTCAACATTCATCAGATAGGCATGTTATCCATATCTGGTCAAAACCCAATTATATAGGAAAAATTGGCTGTCCTTGCTTTCATTTGCAGTTGTTCAGTGTATTGTGTAATGGTTTTGTAATTGATCTATGTCCTTGCTTTCATTTGCATTTGATTTGAGGTTATGTGTTTTGCTTTCAATCGCTTATTGCTCTTCTCTGATATTTTTTTAGCTGATATCCTTGGAAATGCTAATAGAAACCACTCAAGCTTACTCGGGCAAGATGATATCCTATGGGTATATTTCTCTCCCTTTCTTGATACTTAATATTATATGCATGTCTTCGAATATATTATATGCAATGACGACACCTCTGTAGTCTGAGTTTCTATGTAGCTGAGTGTAGTTTGGTTGCGGATGTGTATGTCTTTGACGGCGTATTTGTGGAACTTGTTAGAAGTTAGAATCCTATGTGATTATCTATTATGATATTGGTTGTTTTGTCTACAAAAATGTAAGTTACAAGAAGAAGCAGACATATAATAAAGCAAACTTCTGCTTTAACTAAGTTCAAAAATTCAGAAATGCTTTCCTATGTGTTAACATCTATTACATTGGAGACCAAAAAAGAATAGGACAAAAAACAGCAAGAGCATTTGTATGCTTTTTTAATTTAATTTTTTATTTTTTCATTTTTTTTATTGATTGAGATAACTGCTATAATAATTGTTTTATTACTAATTGTTTGTGTTTACGTATATTTCATTTATGTCTACAACTAATGGAAGTAATGTTTCCCAAATAGTGAGCATTTGCTATAACTTATGAATGCAAGTCATCAAGTATTAATTAGGTCCATATAATGAAGTTTCGTCTATTAGTTGTATTTTTTCATCGGAAGTGAAATTATGAATTTCTAATTCATCTTGTAATAACATGTTTCTAATTCTTTTATACTTCATTTTGCAATCGACAATTGTACTTGTATTAGTCAGTATTTGTTTCTTTCTTTACACTTATTATATAGAGTCATGTAATGTGCCTTCGTTTTATATTTTCTCTGAATACAGATTTATGTGCATTTGTTTTTTGCCACGGGGTATCTCTGACGAATTTTGGCGGGGTAGGTGATGGAACGACGTCGAATACCAGAGCTTTTCAGATGGTTGTCGATCATCTCAGCCAGTTCGAATCGGACGGTGGATCGATGCTCTTTGTTCCTTCTGGGAAGTGGGGTTGACTGGAAGCTTTAATTTGACCAGCCATTTTACATTCTTTCTCCATAAAGATGTTGTTCTTCTCGCTTCTCAGGTTTTAATTTTATGTTTTCTTTTATTACTATTTCTGTTTTTGGTTTATTACATTTAGCACCCCTGACCCCTGCATTTACTGTATTTACTTTAATTGTGACAAAGCTCCTCATATTATAAATATTAGCAAAAACTCCCCTATTGTGCAATTTTTTAGCTGACTACCCCTAAAAACACACCATTTAGGGTGTTGTGTGCTAAAAAATGCATCCTATGGCTTTTTTGTTAATATTTATAACACAGTGAGTTTTTCAGCAAATTCGACATAATGCAGAGTACTAAATACAAATTATTTATGTTTTTCAGTTAGATGTCCCTTTCTTCTTCTGGAAATTTAACTATAGTTTTTTTGTTTTATATAAGCCTCATCTTTGGTATCAACCTAATTGATGTAGTTATTACAGGTCAATTTTTTTCTTAAAAAAGATGGTTGTATGTATTTATATAATATAATAATCTTTGTCAAAAAATTGTGGTATTTGAATTATTAATTTTTTACCTGATTTTCTTTTCAGGGGATGATGGCACCATTAATGGGCATGGTGAATCCTGGTTGAAGAAATTCCAAAAGGGAGATTCACAGTTAACTAGACTTCATTTAATTGAAATAATGTACTCTGTAAATGTCCAAATATCAATTTTTTTTTTTTTTTTGAGATGAAACCAAATATCAAATTTAACACTTGTTAATTCACCATCATGGAATGTTCATCCTGTACTATGTGTCTTTGTAATTACTATGCTTATAGGTTTGGATTGTTTATTGATAATTATGTTTTTGTTTATAAGAGTTGGTTCCATGGAGCACTTGTTAATTTTCATTTAATTATGTGTTTTTATTTTGTTGTTTATGTCTCTTTGGTGCATATTAGAGTATTGTTCTCTTTTGTATAACAATCGAATTAATTCAGCTATACAGGGCATTATATACCGCGCGTGGCGCGGTGTGGCCTCACTAGTATATATATATATATATATATATATATATATATATATATATATATATATATATATATATATATATATATATCCCGGTTCTCGATCATTGCGTACTAGGAGGAACCGAGATCGACATGCAGGATATTCTAGACAGATTCTCGTTCGATAATACTTGGGGTAGTTTTGGGTTTTTAGATGGTTTGACTTTTTTTTTTTTTTTTTCTGACCTGCTATTTAATTTCACAATTTATCTTCACGAAAGAATAGATCGAAAACATTTTTTTTTCTTATGTTATCAAGATGTCTTGGTTTCAAATTTCATTTGTGTGGATTTGTCATTTACTTAAAAAATATTTATAATTTGAATCGATTATATTGATACATTAGTGATTATCAGCAAGAAATCAAATGAAGTATAAATGAAACTTAATTTTAATTTCAAAATTTTAAATTATCGAATTCAAACATTTTTTTTAACTTTTAATTAATTCTTGAACAAAATATATCATGTACATATCTAAAACGAAATTTTATTATACGAGATGTGAGGATGTCTTCTAATAATTCCAACATTGATACGGACCAAATTGTCCTCATGGGGTTTCCTAATCAATTATTGGGCCGTGGATTGAGTTTTCACTTGTATTTGGCCCAAAGCCATCTCAGGCCCAAGAAGAGGAGTTAGGGCAAGTTTGCTTATTCCTTGCCCCTCAAGTATCCTCACCTATAAATAGGAAGTTACTCTCAACTTTTCAGGGGGGTGCTCTCTCTCTTACGTATCACACTCAATTATTTCTCGATAAAAACTGACTTGATCGTCGGAGCTTCTACGCCGGGAAACCCCTCCCGGTGTTGCAGGTACTCCTCCGGCGGAATTTCCGGCAAGCTATCATCAAAATATCGATCAAGGAGGACAGGTCATCAGCTCTCAGACAGCTCTCAGATTTTGGAGCAAATCAAACATGTATGTTTAGTTCAGTATTGATATATTTAAAGATCAAGGATAAAAAAAATGGATATTATGTCTATAGCTTTTCCGAGTCGTTAAGTTTTCGTTGTCTAGTTATTCGATGACGTTGATTATGTGACCGTTTTACTTCACATACTGAAAATTTATCAGTGTAGGGAATCAATTAGTACATTTTTCGACTTCAAATTTCCTGAAAATCGAGCCAAATGTTTATATCTATGCAGAAGTGCTAAAGTTCAAGGAAATCGAAATAGATGCTTCCGTCGACGATTCAGATCCAGACACCGACACAAGACAATCTGAATTGGTAGTAACAGAAGAAAGAGGTTTTTTTTACGAAACAGAACTCGAGGAATTATTTAAGCAAAGAATAGAAGCTGAAGTAGAATATTTGGCAATATCAAGAACGGTTCAAAACCTAAGGGCCGCTTCGGCAAATGCGAACACTATTTCGAAAGAGCAAAAGGCAGAGGATTTAATGATTAATAACGAGGCTGAGAAATTGGAACAGTTTTCCGACGACATTGCAAGTGCCGACGAAACAATGAAGCTACAGAAGAGGGTATTTAAGTACACTATATTTTCTCTCGTGCAGATATTCTCGTTCTTGATCATCTTAGAAGTCATGTTGGTATTCGAGTTATCTCGAAATCCCGTTGAAGTTGTTCCTACCTAGTAATGACAGAGTTTTTTTTTTTTTTTTTCCTTTTTCTTATTCTTCGATGTTTTTGTTACGTTCTTCTTCTTTCAGAAACGAGACACATTATAGATCGAATCATGCATACCTTTGGTTTGTATTATCAGCTTATTCTGCTACATTATTTATTTGTAATTTATAAATTATAAACCTGAGCCTCCTTTTAATGAAGGTGAAACTTGTTAATTACAATTTATTTTTCTTATAAATGTGTATTTAAAATGTTTATATATATATATATTGGTAATAACAGAAAAAATAAAATGAAGAAAAAAGAAAGAATTGTATTTCATGAACTGCATGTGTACTATGATCAGTCTATGGTAGATCTCAGTAAAAGGTACGGCGAATAATCGAACTGAAGCTAAAATGAATCTTTTATCGAATATCAACTATCGAAGAATCGAGACTACTAATTAATCTCGCATTTTGAAAAAAGTCGAAAAATAAGAAGCTACTAACCGAGGTTAAGGTGTCTCGGGATGCATGTCTTTATGTGTTGCTCGAGTAAGGATAGATACCAGAATCGAGCCCTTTTACAAAACATGCATGCGAATTCAATACGCGGTTGCGGTGGCTGTGGCGGCAATGCGGCGATGGTGGCTGCTTCTGCTATTGATGAGTTATGACCGCTGCCACCGCCGCCGGCCCCGCTAGTCTGAGAATATCCATCACGTGGTCGCGGTGGCCGTGGCGGCAATGCGGCGGTGGCGGCGGCCGCCGGTGCTGATGCCTCGCCCCCATGCAGTAGTTGGTGTTGGTGTGATGAGTTGTTGTGACTGCTGCTGCCGCAGACGCTACTGTACTGAATGTATTTGCTGCCGCCGACGCCGGCGCTAGTCTGAGAATATCCGCCGCCGCCGCCGATGTTTAATTTCTTGAATGGTGGTTGATCTTCATGACCATCTAGTGGAGGAAAATAATTGGGTATGAATGAATGTTGATCAACTGCTGCTGCTTTACCCTTCCCCTTCCCTAACGGCCGCCATCTAGAAGATTCGCCGCCGCCGCCGGCGGCACGCCGCCGCCTCTCGGAATCTTGAAAATCCTTAATCAGATGAGTGATCCGTAGATGAAGTGGCCGTAGAGAGAGTCTGGATGAAGAAGATTCCCGATTAACTGGTGAACGCATCGCCGGCGTTAACGCCGATCCGGGGTTCCCCACAGAATCTAATCTTCCGCCGGCCGTCGTCTCCGGCAAAGATTCTATCAAATTTAACGTCCGGCCGTCGTCTACGCTTACTGCACGGTTACTTCCGGCGGTCTCCGGCGGTGACCCCGTCAAATCTACTATTCCGTCTTGATTAATTGTTCCTCCACCGCTTCGATTTGATCCAGAAGCACCACCGTGAACAGCTTCCTCCTCCGCCGTCGTCTCATCGGAAATTGTTATTCCCCCCACATTCTTGCGGCGGCCGCCGTCCATCTCACCCTCTTGTCTTGCGCCGCCGCCTCCGTATTCTTGATCTTGATTATCCATTAACGAGAAGAGAAATCAATTAAGCGAAAAACAAGAAATTATATTTCCAGGGGTGACTGTATCTATATATGTATGTATATATGTATGTATTCTTATACGTTATATCATATATGCACAGAATAATAATAAGGTGAGTAGTTTATAGTTACGGAAAGAAAACGGGGCTACATATGTAATTTGGGGAATTTGAGGCCCTAAATAATAAATAATAAATAAATTCATTTACCTTATCCATCTGTCAAAAGCCCAATGGGCTATATATAATGGGCCCACCCAATTGAAAGCTAATACAAATTCTTCAACATATTTCTTAGTTTCAAAGTGTTATATATATATATATATATATATATATATATATATATATATATGAAAAAAGATTTTCGATTTATTTAGGTAAAAAATACATTTTATCTTGCATACCATTTTTTTATTCAGTCAACCTCGTAGGAATTTTCAAACGATGTACTAGAAGGCAAGATAAGCCATGATAATATAGTATTTGCTGGTCGGCTCGACAAGTTATTGTGGATACCGAACATTAAACTAAGTCCTATTATTTAGTTAATCATGGTTAGTTTGTCCAACCAAACGAGGCCTTAGATGATACTGGAATACGGGATTGTTTAGTATTTTCTAATGTTATGTATCGTGATAACTCTATTGGAGTGGAAATTTTTTAATTTATAGTATCAAAATGATGATTAAGGATTTTGATTAATGTTTTAAAAACCAGACAAGACAAGCTACTGATTTGGACAAGCTACTTAGTCAGGGTTGAACCGGTTCAAGTGAGATTCAACCATTCTTTCATTTTTGTTTTATAATTATTTATATTTAATATTTATATTAAATAAAATATATTTTCTTTCACACGCATTAACTCATTACTCAACTCTAATTAAAACGTAAATCAAACCTATTTTTTATTTTACACGCACAACATATCAACACATCATTTCAATATTATAGAAATTATAATCTAAAAATAATATCTTCCAATCAACAAAATAATATATGCTCCAATAATATATCTAAAAAAAATTAAATGGACAGTAAAAACACGTCATTTTAACTTTTAATCATTTAGTTTGTTTATTTAAAAAAAAAACGCACAAGTTTCGAAAGAAAACTCGATTTTCACTCGGGTTCCGATATTACGATTCAACCGGTCAAACCGGAGTGGGCAAGGCAAACGGTCCGCGGTTTATCTGGTTCAACAGCAGGTCCGATCCACATTGATGTTGCTCTAAAGAAAGCTATAATATGTGGCTCACATTTTTTAATGTACTTAAAGCTAAAAGTAAAGTTAACCAAAAAATGTAAGAAAATAAGAAGAGACGTGCTATTTTCACCCTCAAAATATCTTATTTCACCATTAAATTAAATATATTTTCTAGTTTGCCCCTTTCTTCTTCTTTCACCTATATATTTTTACAAATCTGTAAACCGTCCACCACTAAATTAATTAAAATATTTATTAAAAAAAACCCCATCATTTCCGCTGATCTTTACCGCAAAATCTCACCATCTCCATCTTATGTGAGTAATACTTTCGTCAGAGAAAAATATTTTCGGATGTCAAAAAGAGCAGGAATTCACGTTTTTGGAGAAATAAATTAAGAGTGCTCGTATGGAAGGTTCTGAACTTCCTCCAAAATTGGCCAATTTGGCTTAATATAATTTCGTTTCCTAAAAAAAATATTATATAATCTGTAAGT